ATTGGAGAAATTAATTTCAACTGAACTCTTTGTCCTCCCTTCCCTTACTGATGAGCACAGAGGGAGGAGACTTCACTTGTTTAGTCTCCGTCTAAGGGTCACGTGCGAAACGGAGACTAAACGACTTCTTTGCTCACCACCCCTTCAAATATATGTGAAAATTGAAGAATATCGTTAAAATTTCGGTTTAAACATCGTAATCAAGATAATAATAAATAGATTAGTTTGATTCAACTTGTTTCTATTATAAACATAATAACTTCATTTTGTAACGTAGGACAGTTTACGCAATTGCGCAAGGACCCGCAGTCACGCGCACGATCTCTATTGCTAATGGCGGAGAAAGGGGATAGGCGGAAAAAGGACGTTGTCATATGTTCAGGTTCTTTCTGCCGGGTTTAACAGGGAGATTTTTGCTCAGCGACATTTTCCTATGTTCTTGACCAGCGCTTACACCTGGTACCAAATGTATAGATCCTGCTGGGACTGTTGCTTTAAGGGACCCACCGGCCGTTTCATTAGGTATACATTTTCTTCTTTCGACTTCCGACCTTATTGCGGAATCCTTATCCAAAGGGAGTGCTATTTGAAGGCGAACGGTGAGCTCAAAGGGATCTTGGCCAAAACAGAATCATTTCATGAAATGCACACCGATTTACCTTTCCACGGATTTTAAATCCGATTCATCAGTTCCTCCAATGGCGTACAAACATCCGTTAGAAGCGCAGACCGAATGTTCACTTCGACGTGAATTCATAGGTGCCGCACGAATCCAACTGTGCCGCTCATTGTCATAGCTACAACAGTAGCATCAGTATAAGGCCGATGTCAGAATTTGCGAATCGCGCGATTCACTAGCATCAATTCGCTCGAATCGCTAGTAGCGAGTCGCGCGAATTGCAAAGACTGACATCGGCCTGAGCGAGAGACGAGTATTCCTTAACCGTTCTACGACGTTAACACTGTCGATATCGTCAAGACCACCAACTGCATAAAGAAAACCGTCGAGCGCTGCCAGTGCATACACTTCTCGACTGCTGGAGGGTCGTTCGAGTTCACCGGACCAACGCATTGCAGCAGGGTCAAATCTGAAACTAAACTTCTAAACAGCCGCCTCATATCGACTTTAAGAAAACGGAGGAAGGATTAATTTGGGTCACCTTGAGCCGCGGTCTCTGATATTTCTTTAAAAGGTCTTCTTGTAAGGAAAAATAGGGAGGTAAGGCACACTTTCCGCACCTATTTAAGCTTGCCTTCAACTAAGGTGTGAAGCGATCCTAATTAGGTGCGTAGGCTAAGGCCATTATGCTACGTACCCTTCTCCAGAAGTCTACATAATAGCATTTTTAACACGTTGACGACCGCCGTTATGCGCGCACTGCTTCAACATTTTTCGTATTCTCTCATCAATAGGCATCAATCCTTCAGCGTTTTCATTATCAGTAATGAAGAAATAGTTTTTCGGATCCAATAATGTACATGGACCGTTGTGGAACAGGAGAAAACGCCAAATAAATTAAGGAAAACTAGTCTGCCCATGCGAAAGTGTGGTATGACATCATACCACACGGTCGTCAACGTGTTAAAAGCACTACCACCTAAATACGTGATACATACAAGAGTTCAGTGAAAAACAATTACTATAAAAATTCTGTTTGACAGTAAACATATGTGTATACATATCATATGGAATAAACATATGAACACAAAATACTTGTGATACTATATAGTTATGTCGATAATACTTTACTAGGTTGTTCGGATAGCAATGCGGGCTCCGACATACCGTGCATACCTGGAATATTTTAATTTCTTCTGAGACCTGAAGCCCTATATACCACTAACAAGCATATTCTATCTTCTTTCCTCCAGTGAATTTGAATTTCACTTTTACTCGTTATAGAGTTGAAGTAAAGGTGTCAAGACAATGGTTTGAGGCAAGTTTCCTTCGATTGCTGAAATTCTGATGCAGTGTTCCGTAGACTGTCAAAAAACATTGAAAAATGTCGCCAAGGACCAATAAAAGCGCAGCACAGCCTGGCTCCAAAATTTTGGTAGAGAAGAATTCCACTGTGAAGGTGAGGGGAGTCATGAATACTTCTGCTGTTGACGACGGCCTTCTGAAGATTCCCGTAGAAGATGATTTCAGGACCGAACTGCGCTATAGCAAACAGTAGGACTAGTAGTAGGTATACAGTGCGTATCATAAGTATAGACGCACCCCTAAAATTACAGTAGCCGGACTCCACAGAAGTCTTGGCAAACAGGCTTATCACCATCTGAACCAGCATGCGAAAACCTATGTTTACAGGCTTCCACGTGAAATGGGAAGAATTCGGCATTTTTTAAATAGGTGAACATTATTTTGGCTGTATCAAAAGTATAGACGCACCTCGGAAATCTAATACATTTGTTATGAAAACAAACATATAACAACTTCTTGATAATTAATTGTTCCTCCATGTTTAAAATTGATTTCAAAAATTTGATTTGGCATTGATTCAACTAATCTATAAAGCAATTGCACATCCAAACAATCCCATGCCTGACCAATTGCCATCTAAAGATCGCTCACTCTATCAGAAGTTGTTCCCTGGTGGTAAACATCTCCGACAAAGATGCCCTAGATGCTCTCTATGAATAATTATCAGGATAGTCCATGGCGACTATATTTCGCTCCTCTAACCATGATTTTGTGAACCTGCTCGCGTGGGTCGCCACGTTGTCTTGTTGGAAAAAAAATTCTCCTTCTTCGGAACGTGCCAGAAAAGGTAGCAGATGACGACGTAGCACGTCCTGGTAGTCCGACGAGTCCATATGAGTGGAGGTGAAGGGCGACCTCAAGCTTCCAGTTCCGATGGAATCGTACCAAACTATCACACTGCCTCTACAGAAATCACGTCTACTGAGGAACTTCAGTTCCTTGCGGAGATCTCCCAAGTAGAACGCATTTCCATCTGAGCCATCCAAGTAGAACTATTTCTCGTCAGAAAATAGGACCTGAATAGGAAATTTCAACTCAGAGAGCTTTATGAGGAGGACGTGTATCTTCGATTAATTTGTTGCCATTTTCTTTCTGGCAAACTGGCCGGGCCTCCTTGTAGGCGTCGGTAAGTGGGAAAGCTGGGCGGAGACGACACCTAACTATGTTGTTGTTGCCCTCCTTATCGTCATTCTGGACAAAGGACCCGGTAAGGTGGCTCGAACTCAACTGATGCTGATAGTCGAGTTGGAATAGAGAGGCGTCTAATCGCACGTTCCTGCTGTGGAGTTAGCTTCTTCGTCCTTCCAGAACTCTTTTTTTCTCCCGCAGTATCCTGGGTCATGTAGAAATCGGTCGATTGACCTTGATGAACGCTGCACTTGTTCAGTTTCGACAATTGGTTAGGTATGCTGTGTACAGGGCGCGAACCTGTACCTACTCGGTTTCTAAAGAATGTGGACCTCGTGGCATTCTTCGATATTGTGCAGAGTACTCATTCCTACTTATTTCTTTGCTGGAATGGAAAGTTGTTCATGTGTAGCCTATTATTTTAACCAAGTTAATGGAGTGCGTCTATACTTTTGATACAGGCAAAATAATGTTCACCTGTTAGAAAAAAGCCGAATTCCTTCCAATTCACGTGGAAGCTGGTAAACATAGGTTTTCGTGCATGCTGATTCAGATGGTGACAAGCCTGTTTGTCGGGAACTTCTATGAAAGTCAGCTTTGTTACTTATGGTACGCACTGTATTGAAAATATTGTGGCTTCTGAAGAGGATTGGAGAGGTAAAAATGGTCTCGGTTGTCGTGAGCAGACATTTTTTTTTGAAACGTAAGAACGGTTAGGTACTGTGCAACCTCCGCGGTTGTTTACCCGCAGACACCCTATCAGACGGGTAGCATACTCTTCTGCTAGACCAGTCAACCTTTCAGTGATTTCTGGCAGAACTTGTCTGGCTTTCCGCGTATGGTTAACATCTTCCCCTTCTTCGCGGTATACCCGCCATTTCGTACAGGAAAAACTGCAAAAGAAGTGCAGAATGTACTCGCCCTGTACTACACTGGTTCACTAGTAGTCAAATCGTGAGGAATCGTTCAGCCATGATTCAACACATTTAGGTGAGAGCGAGGAGTTTTATCAACTGGGATCCTACAGAACGTTAATGTTGTGGCCACACACCCGGCTGGCTTGTGCGGATTAGCTCTAATAAGAGCAGGCCCCAATCACACATCGAAAGCCTTTCTAAACTGCGGTATTTCTTCCAGTCGTGATCTCCTGAACAGAGACATTTATCAGTTCTAATCGCACGGCGGACGAGGACAGTCGCATGTATCGCAATGCGAATTTGGCTTCTAGCTTCTGTGCTTCAACAGAAGCTGATAAATTGAAGAGTGATAAACATGGCTCTATCCTTCCCCCTTTTGGACTTGGAGAAAACAATAGGGCTGACATATTTTAATTACAGGTTACATCACCCTTACGCTCTTCGTAGCCTACAAGAACACATACAGAAATAGCTGTACAGTTCGCTAAGGCAGAAAAAAGCGGCACAAACTTGAAAATCACACCCAAATCTCAACTTTTGTTCAAGATCGTAAGAAATTTGCTTGAAATGCAGACCATACCTCTCAATGTATTGCAAACCGAAAGGAGGATGACCGCAGCGTTTACAAATGGCATAGAGCAAATTGTTGAGAACAGCGACACCACTTCCAAACCTAACAATGAAATTGGATTTGAATGGAAAAGTCCTTTCGAGAAAAAAAGCATACCATCCTCTACTCATCGAAGGAACACGCTTCCACATAGCATTCGCTCCTCCAGGATCTAGGCATTCCACAGAAACGATTGTCCTCCCACTATATCCTCCTACTGAAAATTATGAGAGTCGAAGGCGATGATGACTTCACTTATGGTCAGCAGAAACATCCTCGCCCTCAAGTTTTGTGGCAGTCCAACCTGAAGAACTGCGAAAAGCCTAACTCAGCTGAACTTGTCCTAGCGCATTTCAACAGCTATCGAATGCTCCTACCTTCATCTTTTTTTACTCTGGTTATAGACACATAATGAAGCGCCAACTGATACAATATGAGAATGACCATACCCCCGTTCATAACAGGGTGTCGCTCCCACTGACCCATTGTTTGCATCGTACGGCGCATTAAAAAGTCAAAATTGTGATAAAAGAATTTGAGACCATCAGAACTGAGTGTAGTAACACCCATACCAACGTATAAAACTTCAGTGCGTTTGAACGATTTCCGCGGTCGAGTGCGCGGTCCTTGCATACTTGGTCGTCCAGGTGCAGGTAATTGTAAAAGTAGATAGTTCTGGAAATTTCAGAAGAAGACAATTCTAAAATAGGGAAATAAGGGAGTATAGGAACATCACCCACCCTTGCTTCATCAACGAGATTTCGGCAGGCAGCGTTCGCCATCACCACCGCATCTTTACTAACAGTGTGAACGAGGAATTTTGGGCGACAAAGCGGGAGTCGTACATGCTCCATAAGCTGCAAAAAAAAGCTCTACTATAAAAGAGCCATAAGACATACAAGAGAGAAAGACCAAACTCTCGGGAGAAATTGCTCTCGTTCTGGTAACTCGTATCTGAACCATCGACTCACTGCATCAAAAACCTACAAAAATACATATAGGTGAATCCTGGTATAAAATAAGTACGCCAAAACTGAAAACAAATTTGGTATTGGAAGAGAAGTTGGTTTTTCATATAACTGCTCCTCTGACTGCACCACGAGCTCCTCATTTGAAATTATTCCAGCAAATTGGTCAAAAGGAATTTCATAAAATTCGACAGTTCCAACAATGTTCTGAAGAGGGAGACAATGCCAATTTTGAGTGATGACAACTGAATAAATAAACAGAAATTTCGATTGATATACTTGCCAACGCAGCGAAGTAGCTCACGGCATGTATCATTCGATAGCATTTTTCACGGGGAAGCTAACGGGGCACATTTCAGGTCTGCGAGTTCATCTGGAAATGCAAAAAAAATCTGAATTTTCCACAAGGGCATGACGAGGAGGCATGTTTGGGGCCACACACGGAAGGAACTTACTTGCGACCGAGTTTTCCACATAATTCCTACAGACAAGTGACCATAGTCTACGACAGTGAAGGAAATTCTTCGCTTCCTTTACAGCTTTCTACAAAACATTCCTCTAAAAATGGGACTTGTCACGTAATAGGGGGCAAAGGCATGACAAGGGGTGATGTTTGGGGTCACACCACGGAAGAAACGCTCACCTGCGACCAAGGTTTCCATATAATCCTTACAGACAAGTGACGACAGTGAAGGAAATTGTTCGCTATCTTCACAGCTTTCTGCAAAACATCTCCTCTGAAAATGGAAAATGTCACATAATAGGCCCACTGCTGAGAACTGTTCAAAGATTCCACTTGATATACAGAGGATGGGATATTGAGAGCAGAGGGAACACGTAAAGCCAGTAAGCGCTTAAAAACGAAATGAAGATCTAAGAATTCGGAAAATAACATTCATCTAATCTCACAATGTAGTGGATGAGATTGAGTACGTGGCGCATTCTGGGGTAAGTTTTGAGGCCCTTCTCTGTGTGTAGCGGTCAGCCCGCATAAGCGGGATTATATACACATCACATGCGAGCAACTACTTTTTGAGATGAAAATCGAGTGCATGGCGCAATCCTATATGCTTTTCCAAAGTATCAAAGCACATTCTTATAGTGTCCGACGAGCTGAATTCAAAGATATCTTCGGATTCTCGAAAGCTCAATTTTGAACCGAGTTATAACGAATTCACGAAATTAACGAGGATTCGCGTTATTCGCGTGAATTTTCGATTTCAAACGGCGAGTACTGTACATAGTCAAGGCTCACTTTATTTTCCAGTGTTCGAGTCAGGACTTGGTTTCACATCTAGGGGTAGTCTGACATTTTGAAGACAAACACGACACCTGTTTGGCGCAGAAACGACTGCGCGCCTGCACGCTTTGAAATGTCGTAGACCTGATGCCGAAAAGTCTGAAGGAATACACGCAAAGAATTCACTAAATGTGCCGCTATAAAAGGCTCATGGCAAGCCGCTACCAACTATTCACAAAAAATGGAAACGAAACGGAAAACGCTTGGACGAAGCCGATCGGAGCCGATTCTCTAACGTCCATCCTGCAAACCTGCTTCAGTAACCGCAAAGTTCTTCCGCCACATGCGATGTAGAAAGAACCACCGCTAATAGGGGTATGTTCACTAGGACAGAAAGCGACTTTTTCGCGTTTCGCAGCGCGAAACATTTTTCGCTGCGGAACCTCGGGTCCACTGATGATCAGCGGTGGACCTGAGGTTCCCGCAGCGAAAAATGTTTCGCGCTGCGAAACGCGAAAAAGTCGCTTTCTGTCCTAGTGAACCACATTCTCGCCAACATAGGGGGAGCTGTCGCCACAGTGTCCTCAGCGAGAAAGTATAAACTCGCACATTCCAGTCTTTCACGTGCGTCGAGTGACTCACCTCACCCCCATCTCCCTTATGGGGACATTCCCCTTCGCTCACAGATTCCGCGTTTTACACCGAAAGATGAAAACATGCCGCGGCGGCGACTGCCATTCTTCAACTACGTAAACATCAAAAAACTGTAGTTTACTCGCATTGTCCATTAGCAGATATGGAGGAGGGATTAATAATCAGTGTTCTAGAGCGTATCTGGCGGTGTGTATTCCATGTGGGCACCAGAACAGAACGCAACTTTCTCGCTTTTCACAGTTTTTTTCGCTGCGGGAACTCCAGCCCTACACCTCATCATTAGTGGACTTGGGGTTCCCGCAGCAAAAAAGTTTGAAAGCGAAACGGTGCGGTCCGACCGGGTGACCCGCACCTGCATTTTGAATAGGCTTTTCCACCTATCTTGTTCCTTTGCGAAAAATAAAACATTAACCTGGAAATTTTGCAAGATACACTTATCAGCGCAGCGAAGTAGCTCATAACATGCGTAAGTACTGGCAAACGCTCGAATTTCTAGGCAGTTCCACGAATCCAATTGTTTCTTCAGGAAATCGCAACATGATCCCTATAAAAGAGCGCTCGGATCATTAAAACCTTTTGTTTAGGAAATTCTTCACAAGTGTATCTAGCTGACCTTAACTCTGCTCAGTTGCAGCAAACAAGCAGCAGGCAGAATGGTCAGTACATTGGTATCACTGGTTTCAGTCTTACCAGAACAACAAAATTCAACAAGTGCATCAGGAGTAGAGGCGCCCACTTCAGCTGCTTCTAGCTCTTCTGCAAAAATAAAGCAAATGGAAGAAAATGCCAAAACTCATAGTAAGTCCAGTCCAACTCCATTGATTATATGTATTCCAGGTCATAAACTTACGGTTTTTAGCCGTGTCGTTTATGAACAAGGACTTGAAATAACTTGAAGAAGCGGCGAGTACATTTCTATGGGCGTTTATACGTGTTCCCTTGAAAACTGTCGATTTTGCCTTATCGCTAAAAATGTTTTGCGAATTACGTTGCCGACTAGCGTTACATCACAAAGTAGAGATTCGTCGCGAAGTCGTGCGAGTTGAGTGAGTACGTCGCGGCTGTGATCAGAACTCTAAACATTGCACGTGGCTAATTCGTAAGAATACGAATACCGTGATTTCATAAATAAGCTCGATTTCATTTTTGCGAAAGCACGCAGGATTTTTGTTAGCCGGCCTTTTTTGCCCGACAATGTTTTTCAAACCAGTTTAAACTTCAAAAAAAAACATATTATCACTACTGGATGCTTGGAAATACGAATCAAACGTCTTTGCTCATCTATTCACTCGAAGCTCTAATTCAACGCGTTCAAGAGGACAGGTACGAATTTGTCATTTCTCACCAATCTCATTACATTTCTGAGAGTACTGAGATGACACATAGAAGAGTTCTCAGGTAAACGCGCTAGCTACAGGCGGCTGTCGTAACCCCTTGCAATTGCACGCAATTGCACTGCAACTAACCCACTCCTGGGCAGTAGAGCTTCCGAGCAGGGTCAACCCTATCGTTGGTACTTTTTGGAAATTTTTTACGACCCCCCCCCTTCATGGGCGAATTAATACGA